GGGGAAAATGAGGAGCTGATACCAAGGGCTTAAGTGGAGAGCAAATATTTTGAGAATGATGAGGGCAACGAATGTAAAAATGTACTTGACACATGTAAAAATGTACTGGACACGATGTATGTATGGCTTGTGATAAGAGTTGTAGGAGCCCCCAATAAAATGATTTTTTTTAAAAGAGGAAAATGTGGGAGATAGAAAAAGTAAAACATTATCTGTCTTGCTTCAAGTTTTACATGATTTTTTAAAAAACAAGATTATATGCCTGGGCTGTAACATCATTATATAATTTTAAGCAAATTCATCTTGGCCAAAACGAATCCTTCCTTCCCCCTATATTCGACTTCTTTCTCCAACACTTTCTAACTTGGATTAAGTAACAAATTTTCAACGCAATTCCTTCTGGCTTTATACCACGACGACTAAAAAAAAAAAAAAATCAGCCACGAATAGCTTTGTGTTTCCAAGAAATGAGAAAATGCAGGAGTTAGATTGGGTTCGGAGGTGGGGATGTGCGTTTGTTTGTACTTGAACGAGCAGGAGTGCATTTTGCAGTAACGACCAGGGTCTCGTTTTGCGTCCGTCCAGGGGCTCCTTAGAGCAAGGCCCGGGGCCCGGGCCTGGTCTGGGCGAGCGAGGGGCGGTCGTCACAGGGGTGTGTGTGTGTGTTTGGGGGGGTGGGGTCCTCACGACGCCTCCGGAGCGGCCTCGAACGAGGACGCGTCAGCCCAGCGCTCTCGGAACACCCCTGAGCGCTCACGGGGTTCTCGGCGGTCCCTCCTTTCAGCTGATTGGGTCGCGCAAGCGTGGCGGTGGTTGGTGGCTGAGAGGTTGGTGGGTGTCCAACGCGGCAAACGGCCCAGCGCACAGGTGGCCCGGGGACTGCGCTCGGAGCCGCGACGGGGGGAGTCCTCCCGACGCACGCGTCGCTGAGCGCCCACCCACGGGTGCGGGAGGCACGGGCACGCGCCCAGTCGGGGGAGATGGCAGGGTCGAGGTAGTCGGGGCGCCGGGGTCCCGGCCACCAGCGCCCCGCGTGCGGTGAGGAGCTGGTCTCCCCGATCCCCGTCGATCCGCTCTGGAAATATCCCTCGGTCCCCACCCCACCCCCGCCCTACCCCGCACGTTCGCGGAGAAACCCTTTCGGCCCCCAGAGCCTCACTTACCTGCGACCCCTCACCCGGCCCAAACACCTGCGACACCTCACACCGAAGAGATGGAACCCCGCGGCCGCCAGCCCGCGCCCACCCGGATCCACTAGAACGGTAACCACTTCCGGTCCCGTGACGGTCCCAGGGAACGTAATCCCAGACCGAGCGTGCTCCGGGCGGCGCCATGTTGTACGGAAACTGCAGGCGCAGCCGTTGCCCCTCCAGGTTCTTCTCCATTGAACAAAGGATCCGTTGATGCTGCAAAGACTTCAGGTCTCGTCAACAACGTGGTTTTGTGTTTGCTGCTGCATATTTGTTTAAGCTTACGGAACCCCCACGAGTGCAATGTGGAACGTCGGATTTTCGTTGTGAATTCGTCCTGGGGTAGTGTTTCTCTACTGCAATTGTTTTCTTAAATGTTCTTGAAGGTAAATCAAAGGAGAAACACAGTGGTTAAATCAAGCCTTTTCCATGAGCAGTTATATTATCCTAGGACTTTCCAAATAATTTAACAATAATATAACAATAACCACATTAGTGTCCATTTGTATGGGAAACCATTCAAGCAGGCTTTTTGTGTGTGTGTGCTGCGGCAGCTAATGTGTGTGCCTTTCTGTTGCTTTGTCAGGGAGGGAACATGTAGACCCAAAGGGAAAAGAGAAGAGCCTAAGTAGACCATGTGGACGACAATAATAGCTGTCATTTGTTGACTGGCCGCTTCAGTGTCTTTAGAATTCTGCAAAACATTTTACTTGTTTCTCTTATGTAATCTTCAAAACAACCCTATTACTCTTGCCATTTTACAAGAAATAGAGAAAAGGTAAATACATTTTTCCAAGCTAATTCAACAAGTCAGTGTTTGAGCTGGGAATCAAGTCAGATGTCTGATTGAAAGGGCAACAGCACTCATTCTCTTAACTTACAGCCCCTCCAATAGAGGAAGAGGGTTCTAAGTTACATTAGGCAAGGTCAGCTGCATTAGCGCTTACATTCTGAGCATAAGGTTTGCAGAAGACTGCAAGTAACAAGAGGAGCCCTGGTGGCAGAGTGGTTATGTATTGGGCTGCTCACTGCAAGGTCAGCAGTTCAAAACCACCAGTCACTGTGGGAAACAGATGGGGTCCTCTCCCTTAAATGAGTTAAGGCCTTGGAAGCCTATGGGGGGTGGGGGAGCAGTTTTATAGGGTTTTGATGACTCAGTTGATCTGTCTAAATTGACATCTATGGCAGTTAATTTGAAGTTTTGATGGGTAGCAATAAAAGCCCCAAATCCAATATCCATGGATTAGGTCTCCATTGAATTCCTTCTGCCCATTAACCAGGAATGTGAACAGTTTTGCCTTCAAGCAGAGCCCATTGGAAAGTGGATTACTTCCACCAACCTAACCAGCCCAGGGAAGAGCCATCTGCCAAAGGACTTTCCTGGTTGTGTCCCCAATGGAGCCTGCTGAACTGGGGTCACATAGTCATTAGTCATGCCCTGACTGCCTTGGAGGGCCCTGGACCAATTTAAAAAAAAATCATTTTTATTGGGGAGGCTCTTACAGCTCATAACATTATCAAGCATATGTATACATATGTTGCCATCATTTCCAAAACCTTTTCTACTTGAACCCTTGGTATAGCTCATCTATTTCCGCCCCCCCCACCCTTGTGAATTCTTGATCAATGATATATTGTTATTATTTCGTATCTTACACTGTTCGTTGTTTCCCTTCACCCACATTTCTGTTATTCATCCTCTTGTGGGGCTATATATCCAACCTTGTGATGGGTTCCCCTTTTCACTCCCTCCCCATTCCCCAGCCATCCTCTCCCCCTCACGATATCACTACTCCCGCTATTGTTCCTAAGGGATCTATCTGTCCTAAATTCCATGTGTCGAGAGCTCTTATCTGTACCCAGGTGTGTTCTCCAGTGTAGCCAGATTTGTAAGGTAGAAATGGGTCATAGCAGAGGGGGGACCAATCTTGTAAGCTCTTCTGCCTAACATAATGTACATGTCCCATTCCCACTTGAGTGGTCCCACCTATGGCTGTGATGGATTGATCTGCCCCATTCATAATTTAGTGATAGTTTCCTTTGCCCTCCGGTATCCTTTTTAAGTCCCTGAATCTCTGCAAACCCTTGGACACCATGATGGCCTTGGTCTAATGGTCTGCGCCCTCCAGATGATGTATTTTTGTCTCCTTTAAGGCTTAATGGTCTCCTCAAATTGCATTTGAGATTTGGGGTCTCATATTCTAAAACAGTGCCCTAAAACACCTTACAGGGCAAACTTCTGGCAAATATAAAGGATTCACCCCCCTGCATTTTTAACTGTTTCCTCAAGAAACACAAAATACAAATTATAACTACAATGAGAGTTCATCACATACACACCAAAATAGCTAAAAGGAAAATAATAGATCAAGGATCCTCAAACTATGGCCCACAGGCCACATGCAGCCCGCTGAGGACGTTTATCCAGCCCGCAAGGTGTTTCTGCCCCGTTTTGTTTTTTTACTTCGAAATAAGATATGTGCAGTGTGCATAGGAATTTGTTCATAGTTTTTTTTTTTTAACTATAGTCCGGCTCTCTAACGGGTCTGAGGGACAGTGAACTGGCACCCTGTTTAAAAAGTTTGAGGGCCCTAGTTCCTAAATGTTTCTTCCCCGCTCCCACTATCATGACACGAATTCTACCTTGCAAGTCTGGCTAGACCAGAGGATGGATGTACACTGGTACAGATGGGAGATGGAAATCCAGGGAATCCAGGGTGGATGATCCCTACGGGACCAGTGGTGTGAGTGGCAATACTGGGAGGGTGGAGGGAGAGTGGGTAGGAAAGAGGAAACCAATTACAAGGAACTGTATGTGACCTCCCTGGGGGACTGACAGCCGGGAAGTGGGTGAGAGGAGACGTCGGACAGGGCAAGATATGACAAAATAACAATTTATAAATTATCAAGGGCTCATGAGGGAGGGGGAAAATGAGGACCTAATGTCGGGGGCTTAAGTGGAGAGGAAGTGTTTTGAGAATGATGAGGACAATGAATGTACAAATGCGCTTTACACAATTGATGTGTGTATGGATTCTGATAAGAGTTGTATGAGCCCCTAATAAAATGATTTAAAAAAAGAAACATATTTCGTTTGGAATAAATCTGATCAAGTAAAAAATAAATAAATAAAATAAAATAAAAAGTTTGACGACCCCTGTAATAGATACTACCAAATGTTGGCAAGAATGTGTAGCAACCAAAAGTTTCACCTTTCTCTTGGTACAATGTGGCAAGGAAAAAGAAAACAAATACAGTTTGTAAGGGAAAAAATAAAACTGTATTTGTAGATGACATGATTATCTATGTAGAAAATCCAAAATAACCTATATGGAAAAGCTCCTGGAAGTAACAAGAAAGCATATTAAGATTGCAAGATATAAGATCAATATACAAAAGTCATAATATACCAGAAATGTAGTATCAGAATTTTAAATTAAGGACCAATGCCACTTACTTTTTAGTCTAGGAAAATACATCCAGGGTCTGTATGGGGGGAAACTACAAAGGAATTATGAAAGAAATCAAAGATCGAAGTAAATGGAAGATACTGTGTGTTCATGAGTTGGCAGATTCCATATTGTTGTGCTGTGTTATGTAGTGAATTATTGTTTTACAGGCCTTCTGGCCACGGTCCAGTAACCCAAACTCACTGCCATTGATTCAATTCCAACTCATGGCGACTCAATAGGACAGGCTATAACTGCCGTTTTGGGTTTCCAAGACTGTAACGCTTTACAGAAGCGGTTCTCAACCTGTGGGTCTCGACCCCTTTGGGGGTCGAACGACCCTTTCACAGGGTCTCCCTATTCATCACAGTAGCAAAATGACAGTGATGAAGTAGCAATGAAAATAATTTTATGGTTGGGGGTCACCACCACATGAGGAACTATATGAAAGGGTCACGGCATTAGGAAGGTTGAGAACCACTGCTTTACAGGAATAGAAAGTCTCATCTTTATCCTGTAGAGAAGCTGGTGGTTTTGAACAGCTAGCCTTGTGGTTAGCAGTCCAACATGTAACCACTACACCACCAGGGCTCCAAATGTTCTAATAAAACTACAAAATAATTAGATTGTTGTTAGGTACCATCAAGTTGGTTTCAACTCATAGTGAGTGACCTTATGCATAACAGAATGAAACACCGGCCAGTCTTGCACCATCTTTACAATTGTTCTTATAGTTGAGTCCATTGTTCCAGCCACAGTGTCAGTCTGTCTTCTCCGGGGCCTTCCTCTTTTCCACTAGCCCTCTGGCTTTACCAAGCATGATGTCTTTTCCCAGGGACTGGTGTCTCCTGACAACATGTCCAAAGTGTGTGAGGTGAAGTCTTGCCATCCTTAATTCTAAGGCACATTCTAGTTGTACTTCGTCCAAGACAGATTTGTCTGTCCTTTTAGCAGTTCATGGTACTTTCAATATTCCTCTCCAGCACCACAATTCAAATCCATTGATTCTCCAGTTTTCCTTACGCAGTGTCCAACTTTCACATGCATATGAGATGATTGAAAATACTATAGCTTGGATCACGCACACCTTTATCCTCAAAGTAACATCCTTGCTTGGCAGCATTTTTTAAATTATTAATCATTTTATTGGGGGCTC